TATAAGCACTTGGGGGGGGGTTTACAAGTATCCGCGGATTCTAACTATTCGCGGCCGGTTCTCGTTCTCGGACTCACTCTATATTCAAAAAGATAAAAAATGATAATCAGATATTAATTTGATGATAGGATCAAATAAAATATGCAGAATCAAATTCCTTTCAAAAATTTCTTTTTTTTTATTTAGTACCTGCATTTAAACCTCTGATTTCCCCCTCGAATTTTTATTTTATGGCATCGTAGACTTGTAGATTTTGGGATGCACATTGCAACTATTATGAACTAAAAAATGTTATGATGTTAATTTGGGGTTAATAGACAAACGCCAAATAACATGTAACAATAAAATGGGGTTTATTCGGTTGGTAAGTTGGTACAGATATCGCCTGAGTATTCTATAACTAACTCAGCTCAAGAACTTCTCCGACACTCTGTCTTTTGACATGCCACTATTTAACATCCTTGTATGTAGACGAGTTCATCTTCAAGAGGGGTGGTAGGTTCCTACACAACAAAAAATAAACGACAAATTCTGTCTGTCTGTGTATCTGAAACCCCTCTAACTCGGGCCCCATTTTTGCTCTACATGGAGATATTATACCTTTTGGGAATCAGTATGACCCCGGGATTTAAAATCTGCCCTTCATCTGGTGCCTGAACATCCGGCATTTGGAGTTATGCCCAGATAAGAAGGAACAGTTTTTTTTTGTTTTTTTTTTTTAATAACTGAAAGAAATAGTGATTTTAAAAGATTTTAATTTATATTGAGTTTAAAGTAACGCAAATACTTTTTGAATTAAAAAAAAATGTTTTAAATTCAGCTTAGAATATCTCCAAAACTTTGTGAATTGAATAAATCTATTATTTTTCTTCAAAATGACAAGGAATTAGAGTTAAACTGACGTGAGGTTTTAAATTTCCGCAGAGTTTGTAATTTGAAGAACTTAGTTTTCAGGCTGAGTAGCAATTTCGGCCGAAATCGTTTTTTTTTTTAAATTTATTTATTTATTTATTTATTTTTTGATAAAATTGGACTAAATAAGAGTTAAAGTGATGTTTAGAAGTTCCATGGAAAGAACTGAAGATTTCAAAGTTATTTCTTCAAAATTATCATTGCCGGACTAGAGTTCTGTTTAGTTTTTGGGTCGAAAAAACTGTTTAGTCCTCTACAGTTTTGGACCATGAGACCGGAATTCGAATCAAACCATGATCAATTTATCAAGGAGGGGTCCTTTTATGATATCAGCTTGGGGAGACGATACCAGTATGCGACACCATTAGAAAGTGATTGGAAACCATACCCCGACTTGACCCAACCATTGCGAGTAAAATTACGTCGACGAAACCGTATGGATGCTGAGGTCGGTTGTGATGGCACAACTACACCAGTCATTATGACCGAGAGTTTGAACGTACTGGCGTTGTTCAGATCACGCCAGATTAAGCAATTCCTCTACCCCATAAACTGTAGCTAATCTCCGCCGAACATCGTTACAGTAAAAGCCACAGGTTGGCAGTGTGGGTGTCGAAGAAACATAAATTTGCCTGAGCATGCGTTTGCAACAGGGATTGGCTAGCTGTCTTAGTGGACGCCATCGTCAGCCGAGAACCGATGGTTGTCTACGTCCTCTTACTTCGATCCCACTCGCAAAACATCGCCAGACTTTCCGTTATTAGTGGATCGCTGTCACCGCCGAAGGTGTCATAGTTGGCATTTGCCTGTTCCTTGGTTTTTTACACATGATAAGGGGAAGGGTCGAAGTTGGTCCATGACACTAAACGGGGAAGAGGTGCGGAACGGGGTGCTTGCAGTTTGTGGGTAAATGTCTTGAGGACCGCTCGGGGATAGCACTTAAAAATTCTGATGACGTTGCCTATTTGCTCCGTCCGCTAAAGTCCATTGTAATTGTTTTGGTCTGGGGTCTTGTTTCTTTCCCTTATGACTCCAGTACCTGTCAATCACACCCAAAATGACAGCGGAACACGTAGATACGTTTTTTTTCTTTTTTTTTTTTTTAATCATTTCGCCCCAAGCAAGGCAATAAAGCCATTAAGATGCAAGGGGTTAGTGAGCTTGAAAGAATATGAGAAAAAGGAAAACATCATTAATGTGAGAGCACACTAAAAGAACAGTAGTTATGAAGGCAGAAGATAACGATTGACATTGCATTTAAATTTTTGAAGATCAAACTTGACAGGAAAGAAAGAAGCCAAAAGAAAGTTACACAAGCGAGAAGTGCGAGAAAGTAACCGTTATCATAGAAGTTACAGTTACTGTTAACCATGTTTGCGGTAGTCTTTGAATATAGAATCCAGTGAAGTACGTAATGTGTTCAATATCAGAGGTTGGATGAGAAGATTCGGAGAAAGTAGCAGCTGTTAAGTAATTCTTTAGGTCTTCGATATCAGAGGTTGGCGGTGAAGATTCGGAGAGAGTAGCAGCTGTTAAGTAATTCTTTAAGTCTTCAATATCGGAGGTTGGCAGTGAAGATATTTTTGGAGAAAAACAAAACAAAATGGCTGCCTTTATACACGTCGGATTGAATATTTTGAGCTTTCTGATTGGTTAACCCTTCTCTTGGTGGACTATAAAATGAGTCAGCTCATTTTGGCTAGCTCACTAGTACAAAAAGTACCGAAAAATTCAAACAGTTACATCTAACTAGCTCAACTGTACATTGACGAGACTTTGCCTCCAATCTATAAGGCCGTGGATGTAATACCATTAGAGAGAAGAAACTGTTAGCATAGAACTTACGGTTATCTCTAGCCATTTCAACTGTAAATTGATGAGACATTGTTGTAAATCTAGTACCGTGCTTAAATTCATAAAGTCTAGGTACCATAGCGAAGAGCGATATTTATTTCCGCTTAAATACAGAAATTGTGGCACAAAGCCAGAAATGGGGAATGGGGAAAAGGACGGTCTTGTTCTGTCTTAACGTTAAACTTAACTAGCCACAAACACTGACCCAAACATCCAACAATATTCCTAACACCAAAACAACGCATTCATACTTACCTTTCTTACTACACCCACCATAATACCTCATTGTCTCTATGAAAATCCTAGCTAGTCCCCATATGTACAATTCATTGTCGAGGGGGGGGGGAGAGGAGCAAAACAACAATTAAAAACTATCCCCAATGAGTAGTTCCAATATGAAAAACAAAACTACCCTAGCGAAGAGTTCGTCCGAATAATTACCATGAAAGTATTTATAGAAAAGTCACAGGGAAGAAACTTTACTGCGGTGGGAAAGTGTCTGAAGCCGAGATGCCAGGTCAGGACCAATAATACTGCTGATTCTTCTTTGGATTATATCAAGGATCTTTAAATATATAACAGGAGAACCGGACCATATGTGGCAGCAATATTTGAAGTATGGACGAATGGTAGACTTATAAATATGTAAGATAGATTCTGAAGAGAAAAAATGTCTAGTACGACAAAGTGAAGCAACTTTCTTAGCAACAGACTTAGCTTTGATTTTGCTATTTCTAATTTGTAATATGCAGATTGGTCTATTTCTTTTGCTGTGCATTCCAACTTCTTGCAACTGATGTTTAGTCTTTTATTGCTGTTAGCATAGAACGGTTACATCGAGCCATCTCACCTGCAAATTGCTAAAAACCTTGCTGCCACACTAGTAGTGCGCTTAAATTCGTAAAATCGACGTACCAAAGAGAACAATAACAACGAAAATATTTATAGAAAAGGCACAGAGAAGCTACGGGGGGACAGTGACTGAAGCCGAGATACCAGATCAGGACCTATAACATAAGAGATTCTTGATAAAGCACCAGATCACATGTGGCAGCAGCACTCAGTGCATGGACAAATGATAGAATTATAAAGGTGTAAGAAAAATGTTCTAGCACAGTGAATCAATTTTCCTAGCAGTAAACGTAGCAATTGATTCAATATAATTTCACATTTCAGCATTAGCTCGAGAAGGTGCAATGAGTCATTCTGCTGGAGGTTAGCATCAGCCATACTGATGGAAGGAAAAAAAGACTCTCTAAGTGTTGTGACCACGTAATTGGTTAAGAAATAACAAAACAAGAGGTTGCAGATAAATAGTGTATTGAACAGTAAATACAAGAGAAGATTGTGACACGACTTGGGAGTGTGTGTCGGTTGACCAGCGTTCAGTCTATATCACTATTATATTCAGTGACCCTCCACACGAGGGTACAAGTGGCACAAGGCAGAGTTTTACCTCCTCGGACGGAACTCTGCCCTTCGGCAAATCCTCGTTCCGGTTCCTCTCCGCCTAAAGCAGAGAGTTCGACAGGAGCTGCGAACAGTCTCGGTAGAACAGTCTATATCTCTGTTAATATTTAACAGCCCCCCTCTACAAGAGGGATGTATGTGACACAAGGCCGAGCTTACACTTAATGCCATGACTTAAATAATATGATCCAATAAATAATTTTTTACCAATAACACAGATTTATTTACCGCTGAGTTTGATCCGTCTTAATGAAACACCCATATATATAATCCGTCTTAATGAAACACCCTTTAGTTGTGGAGTTTTCATAATGATGATACACGACAAGAAGAAGAATTTTTTCTTTAGAAATATAGTAGAGTAAAGGGTGTTCAAGTAACTTGGACCGATTTTAAATGCGAATTAAGTTTAAACATCTAATGACTTTTTTTCCTTACTGCTAACTTTGATCCGTTTTAATGAAACACCCTTATATATAATCCGTCTTAATGAAATACACTTTACCAGTCTACACGGTAACCCTCTATCGTTAGTGGCTCTTGGGGTGAATATTAGTAAAAATAAAATAAAGGCTAAATAATCCAGTCTACTCTGCTATATCTCACAATGCACCTGCCGTAATTTTTTTTATTTTAAAGACCAATTTTTTGTTCAAGAGCAAGAAAGAAATAAGGTCGGCAAAGTCCTAAGCCACGACTGCCGCATTTTCATCGGATAAGCAGGAAAGAATTCCGGACATCCAAGTATATCCACCTGGCATCACTTCCCGAGAAAGTGAGTTCGGCCAGCGACAACATCAGTTCTGCAGCCATCGTCGTCTTCATCATTTTCGCGTCTTCCCTGGCGTTGATTCGAACGCGGCGGAGGTTATTAACAGCTGGGGGGAAAAGCGAAACAGTATGGCAGTCTGGGAGATACACTGTGGAAATTGAACAGTCCTTCATTATCTGGTTGGGAGTAGTTTCATGGCAAGCGGTAACCCGCAGTTAACAAAAAGCCAAAAAAAAAAAGGTTACATCTATTAGACTGTACCACATGGAGTTTTCCGTTTCATCAAGATTCGAAAGTTGGTGTTATCAAGATGAATTTAAGTAGATGTGTATTATATTATACCATTCACTATTATAAGTTGGTACAATTTAATGAACACAGGGAGGCATTTTTTTTCCTCTGCTTATTTATCAACCATGCCTCGTAGAAAAAGAAAATCGTTAAAATGACAAAAATAGACGAAATAACAACACTAAAATATAAGCAAGAAGAAATAAAATAATCAGTGGAGTAGAGTAGAAAAAATGCGTTTCTAGAACTTCGTTCAAAAAATAAATTGTCTACATTAAGTGGTATACAGCAAGCCTAGCGGTAACGGGATCACGATACGAGATTAGCTCCCCCCAAAAATGCCAATTCATCCAAAATTGACATACGCGCTTATACGGTACGAGGGTAATCAGTAAGTTTGTAAATTATTTGAATTTTGATCTGAAATTTTCACTGTATAATATTCAATTTGTGGAGTTAATCATCATTACCTGCTTCAGCCACAGATGAATGAATTTTTTTTTCTTCTTACTACTCTTCTTCTTCTTTTTCTTCTTCTTCTTCTTCTTCTTCTTCTTCTTATTATTATTATTATTATTATTATTATTATTTTCATCCCCATCAAAACAATCATCACTATCATCATCTTCCTGCCATCTTTCTTCTTCTTCTTCTTCTTCTTCTTCTTCTTCTTCTTCTTCTTCTTCTTCTATTATTATTATTATTATTATTTCCCCTTTTGTCTTCTTTCCTTTTCCTCCTTCTCCTCCATTATTTCTCTTTTGTCTTCTTCTTTGTCTTTCATTATTTCTCTATTGTCTTCTTTTTCTACTTCTTCCCCCTCTTCCATTTTCTTCTTCTTCTTCTTCTTCTTCTTCTTCTTCTTCTATTATTATTATTATTATTTCCCCTTTTGTCTTCTTTCCTTTTCCTCCTTCTCCTCCATTATTTCTCTTTTGTCTTCTTCTTTGTCTTTCATTATTTCTCTTTTGTCTTTTTTTCTTTTCTTCCTCCTCTTCCATTTTTTTCTTCTTCTTTCTTCTTCTTCTTCTTCTTCTTCTTCTTCTTCTTCTTTATTATTATTATTATTATTATTTTTCTTTTGTCTTCTTTCCTTTTCCTCCTTCTCCTCCATTATTTCTCTTTTTGTCTTCTTCTTTGTCTTCCATTATTTCTCTATTGTCTTCTTTTCTACTTCTTCCCCTCTTCCATTTTCTTCCTCTTCTTCTTTCCATTTTCTTCTTCTTTATTATTATTATTTCCCATTTGTCTTCTTTCCTTTTCCTTATTTTCTTTTTTGTCTTCTTCTTTGTCTTCCATTCTTCTTTTTCTGTTCATTTTCTTCTTCTTCTTCTTCTTCTTCTTCTTCTTCTTCTTCTTCTATTATTTATTCTTTGTCATCTTTGTTCTACTATTTCTTTTTCTTTATTCCTCTTTCTTTTTCTTTTTACTCTTCTATTCTTTCTTTCTTTTTCTCCTCTGATTCTACCATTTCTTCTTCTGTTTTTCATTCACATACTCTTTTACTTCAACGCTTCTTCTTCTTGCTCTGCCATTTCTTCTTTTTTCAACTTTCTTTTTGCTCTACCCTTCCTTCTTTCTTTCTTTATTTCTTTCTTTCTTTCTCCCCCTCCGCTTCTTCTTCTTTTTATGTGTTACCCTTATTTTCCTTCTTCCCATTCCCCACCCCCATCATCATCATCACATCTTTTGCACCACCACTTCGTCCCATTCTTCTCAATCGACCCCCTATTTTTCCTCCCCGCCTCTTTTGTCCCTTTATTCTCTGTAGTTTATTGCTGGGAACAAACTCTCAATCTGTAGTCTTAAATGAAGAGAATTCATAAAGTACCCACTTTTTTTCAAAAGCCTGTCAAATAATTTTCAACTGGGTACACATGCTCTACGGCGTCCCCACTTGTCGAAAGTCCAACCGTCATCATGCGCAACACCATCCGACGCTGGGGGAAAGGAAAAGGAATATGGAAAGAAAGAAGGAAATAAATAAAGAAATATGGAAAGAAAGGTGGAAAGAAAGAAAGAGAGCGAGAAAGAAAGAAAGAAAGAAAGAAAGAAAGAAAGAAAGAAAGAAAGAAAGAAAGAAAGAAAGAAAGAAAGTTCCTCAAGTATCAATGAAACTCAAAAAGACGATGTTACTTGGTACAATCGAATGAACGCTGGGAGACGTTTTCTGGTTATCAACCATGCCTCGTAGGAACAGAGAAAAAATCCTTAAAATGGCAGACAAAATAACAATAATAAAATATAAAAAAGAAAAAAATTAAAAAAAAATCAGCAGCGCAGATAAGAACTTAGTTAAAAATTGTATTCGTAAAAAGAGTACAGTAAGCCTAGCGGTAAAGGAATCACGAGTTGTGTCTAGCCCCAAATATGACAATTTATGCAAAAAACTCCAGACACGGACGCTGTGGGCATAGGGTGAAGTCGGTTGAGTGACAGGTGATTATTACGGCGCTTTTCTCGACTATGTTTTTTTCTGTAATCATGTACACCCCAAGCAAGGCAATAAAGCCACAAAAGATACAAATGGTTACTGGTGTGGAATAATCAGAAAACAGAAACATTACTAAGGTGTGAGAATAACAGAAAAGTAATCAAGAATACAGAAGATAGCGATTGACATTGCATTAAACTTTTTGAAGATTAAACTTGATTAGAAGGCATGGAACAGAAAGAGAGTTCCACAATCAAGAAGTGCGAGAAAAGGAACTGTTAGCATAGAACTTACGGTTCTATCTATATTCTAAATTCTCGAAACGTTTGTCTGTGATGAAATATTAGTATGACTTTAGTTTGGATAATTGAAAAATATTTGGATGATTGCAATTCTTCCTTCGTTTTACAGCCCCATCAAGCTGAAATACCGGTTCCCGTATGATCATCAAAGTTAAGCAAAGTCGAGGCTGGTTAGTACTTATATGGGTGACCGCTTGGGAATCCCATGTGCTGTAAGCGTGGATGTGCGAGTGGTGTAATAGATAATGGCTCGGAATTATTAATCAGAGAGCCGATTTCCAATTTTAGTTGTTCCTTATATTCACTTACCCTTCATAAAGGTATGAATACATCTCTTCTCCCAAGCTATGGGTTAATTAGTAAAACGTATAACTAAACTATTATTATCACCACCCCCAAAATTCATACAATCTAAAAGCTATTTTCTGGCTGTAAATATCTGGCAAAGAGTTGATAAGCCGTAAAAATTGAATCAGTCAAATCGAAATCAATTCCAGCTTTTCTCTCTTCATTTCCAGTCCGGATAATCGAATTACAGAAAATCGAGCTACGGAGAAATTGAGGAATTACTGTATCAATAAATCGGGAAAACTGTAACTAAAAGATGACGTCAGTTGGTACAACTGAACGAACACTGGAAGACTTTTTTTTCCGTTTATTTGTCGAAAAACAAAAACGAAAACGTCCTAAAAATGACAAAAAAAAAAAATGAAGAAAATAACAACGTCAAAATAAACGCGAAACGAGACAAAAAAATATCAACGAAAACTGACGAGAAAAACACCATTCCAAAAACCTTCTACAACTTTACTAAGTGAAAGATTTGTATTCATGAGAGGTATCGTAATTGGTGTACTGTAAGCCCAGTGTTAACGGGATTACAAGTGAAGTTTATCACCCAGATTACCAATTTAAACCAGATATCATTCAATTATTTATTAAATAAACAATAGCAAAGTCAATCAATGAATTAATGAGCAGCAGAATATTCCATATTTTTAGTTTAATAAATTTCGGTTTTTTTAAAGCACAAATAGAAAAAGCTAAACTTAAAAAAAAATGTAACAATTTCTATTTGCTTACATGCATAAAACCTAGATAATTCAATTATTTTTAAAATTAAATTAATAATGAAAATTTTAAGAAGTAAACAACCATTTTATTTAATAAAGGGCTAAATTGTTTTAAAATTATATTTTTCCAGTGAAAGACAATAGGTTCTCTTTCCTCACAAAAATAAATTTTAAATGCATAAAACCTAGATAATTCAATTATTTTTAAAATTAAATTGATAATGAAAATTTTAAAAAGTAAACAACCATTTTATTTCATAAAGGGCTAAATTGTTTTAAATTTATATTTTTCCCGTGAAAGACAATAGGTTCTCTTTCCTCACAAAAATAAATTTTAAATGCATAAAACCTAGATAATTCAATTATTTTTAAAATTAAATTGATAATAAAAATTTTAAAAAGTAAAAAACCATTTGATCTAATAAAGGGCTAAATTGTTTTAAAATTATATTTTTTCCGTGAAAGACAATAGGTTCTCTTTCCTTACAAAAATAAATAAATTTACTTTTCCATATTTAGGTTTTATTACAATTCTAATCATCGCTTTTTAAATATTACCTTTTTTTTTTTTTTTTTAAGCGTTAAACCCCAAGCAAAGCGAGAAGCCACTAGGACGCAAGGGGTTACAGAAACTTTGGAGCAAGATCAGATAGGAGTGATAGAAGAAAGGATGAGGAGAAGGGTAGCGGATAGATCAAGGTAACTGGAGATGTCGATTGACATTACATTTGAATAGTTGGAGATTATAGCTCTCAGGGAAACTGGAATAGGGAAGGGAGTTCCACAGGCGAGAGATGCGAGACGTGAAGCTATTGGAGTAGAAGAGACGGCTACATTTATTAGTTTCGACAGTGAAAGGGTAAGAGCGGGATGCCAGCCTCGTAGGGCGCTTGAACTCATGAAGTCTGGGAACCAGCGAATGCAGCTCCTCGGAACAATTGCCATGAAAGTATTTGTAAAACAGACAGAGAGAGGCGACGGCGCGTCTGTGAGAGAGTGACTATAGACGAGATGCCAGAGTAGGGCCAATTATATTGCATATCCGCCTCTGGAGCCTATCAAGAACCCCGAGGCAAACAGAAGGGGCTCCAGACCATATATGGCAGCAATACTCCATGCAAGGGCGAATTGTTGATTTGTAGATCTGGAGGATCGATTCCGGGGAGAAAAATTTCCTGGCGCGGTAAAGGAAGCCAACTTTCCTTACGAGTGAAGGTAATTAAAATAATAGCGGAGTCAAGGAAAAAAAAAACGTCATTTTTTTTTGCGGGCATGAAGCTTGCCATAAGAATCTTTTTCAAATTTCGATTTAGATTAAAGATACATTCTTTAATCCTTGTCAAAAATTAAAGATTAGTTGATTTGTTTTTTACCGATTATTAACCTTTTGCAGGTTATTTAAAGCCAGAAAATATTTTTAGATTCTAAGATTTTGGAGAGATAATAATGATTTTTACTTAAACAAGTTATACTATTTAACCCATAGCTAGGGGAAGAGGTGGATTCATACCCTTCCCAGCTCTCAGATATCCAATTCAGAGCCGTCATCCATTACACCATTCGCATTATCCAATGTTGCAGCAACTGCTATTCCTAAGCGGTCACCCATCTAGGTACTGACATTGCTTAACTTCGGTGACCGTATGAGGAGCGGTGTTTCAAAGTGATATCACTGTGAGGCATGTCAAAATTAAAAAAAACGTACATCTCTATCTATAAAAGGCAGGATGTGTGTGTGTGTGTGTGTGTGTGTGTGTGTAAAGAATGCACGGCCGCAATTTTCGACGGATTTGCACCAAAATTTACATGCACATACTCCAAGTTAGCGGAAAAGGCCAAGACCGACTTTGCATTTCCCAACTCCCATCGATAGTGGAAATAATCGATTTTTTCATGCTTCTACGGCAGTTTTCATGTAGTTTGCGGCCATTTTCTACTTGCCAGAGTGAGAGCCTATAGCTGGCTGCCACGAATAGGCAGAAAGATTCTATTGTCCAGCGTGAGAGCCAACAGCTGACTGACACGAATGTTAACTAGCATGCTAGCATGCAAAAAAATCAATAGCTGCATTCGTCACAATTGGGAAAAATTTAAATCTGCATGGCACTTTACTCTAATTGGCGCATTCGCTTGCTTAAACTCAACGTTGATTCTGATTCTGCAGAACTGGGTTGGGTGTGAAAAAGTATTTGTTGTTAACATTCTTTTTTCATTTGGTTTTTCCAGTTACGAGTCCTTTTTTTTAAAGCTGATCGTTTTGTGTTCATTTTGTTTAGTTCTTTTTTCCTAACAGATTTAATGTTTAGTATAGAGCTTAGAAAAAATTCGCAGTGTGAGATAGGCAAGAAGTAAGGCATGTAGCAACATCAGCATGGCAAAGGGCACTCCTTTAAAGGCAAGGAAGGGCAAAAATATTTTAAGTCAAATGATAGCGATTGCTGTATGAGTCGTACGATTTTTGAATCAAGCCCGGGCAACGCCGGGCCATGCTGCTAGTAGTTATTTAAAACTCTTCGCGGCCATTGCTTCATTATTTTAAAATATCTGTTCTAAGTTTCTATCCTAAATGAATAAGAATGCATTTCGTTTTAAAATTGCTTTGGGTATCATTTTCTTCACATAGTTTGTTTTATAGCGAAAATCATGACGGTCTAAAAGCAGGCAATTATTAAAGACATCTTCTGAGTCGTAGCCGAGCATAAAATGCTCGTTTGGAACACCCAGAAGAAAGATTAAACTCACAACAATAAACAGACGATAATTTTATTTTTCGAATGAAATCAAAAGGAACCTCTTTCCACATCCTACATATAAATAGAGATCAGCTATTTTAAGCGTCAGTAAAGTAGCAAACATCCGCTAATTTCATAGCTATGCTTCACAGAAGTAGGAGGCGAAAAGAAGCGTAGTTCAACTTCCGAACTCGAAACAGAATGAATAGTCAATATATACGACAGCCTCTACATCATTACAACTTCTTTTCGTTTAATCTCCTGTCTTTATCGTCTGCTTCATTCAATTTTCATTAAAAAGAAAACACAATAAATAGACTGCCTAAATAGCTAAATGTCAGACTCAATTCATTTTCAAGTTTGCTTTGGTGAGGTTATTTGCCTGAGTCCCGATAGGAATACAATGGCGGCCATTGTGAAAACTGGCCAAGATGGCGACAATAGTAACAGTAATAACATCAATCGTAACAACAAAACAAGGAAATCGGCAATAACAATAAATAGGATAAGCACAACAAAAGGCTCAGAAACTTTCGTCTCCTGGCTTCTTATCTACCAGTCTATTCACGTTACTCATCAAATGTTTGAATAAATGAAGGGTGAAAGAGAACAGTTGGAGAATTGTCCCATGAAAGATCGCGGTGTTTATTGCTTATTATAAGGTTATTTGATTACAGAATTACGTATGCTACTGAGTGTGGATGTGTTCTCAAAAGAGTATTCGTCATTGAATACAAGGCTCAAGAGCCATTCAAAATAAACGGTTACTGAATTAGGTCTGTGCATGGGCGTAAGAGGCAGAAGTAAGAAGTGTCGATTAAGAGAATATGTAGGAAAAATAACGGTTGACCAGAGACCTTAAGTTAAGGGTGTAGCGATCAAGGAAGCACTCTCTCGGAAGTCTGTTCCACAAAGTTGTTTGGAGAGGTTGTGGAAAGTCCTCCTTACCAATGCAATACAAAGAATGTTGTGTATTCCGGGATGAAATCCGGTCTCAAATGAATGACAAACGCAGGAATGAAATATAGCAAATAAATGTATTGACGTAATAATACAATTGGTAATACGGTTAGTAGATCCAGAAACGCGGTTAGTAGCAATAATAATATATATATACAGTCTGAGAAATCCAGTATCGAAGTATGACTTACTTCTGAGTCTACGTGCTCGCAACTGTGACTCCTACAAAGCGGTTACCTCACACTCTCACTGTATCACTGTATCAGTGTATCTCTCTTTCTCTGTTACTCCCGGGCATTCACCGGCAGCAGTACAAGTACACACCGGTCGAGTCCAGTTGTATGAAAAAGGGGTGGACCCCATAACAAAGAGAATGTGGATGATTCGTCCCAGTGCATGTCTTAGCTCTGAATGTCTGAATTGGTGGATTCTTTAGAATGTACCTCGTCAGA